TTTCTTTCTTTGTAATGTCCTTAACTAGTTTTGGAATTAGGATAACGCTGGCTTTGTAAAATGAGCTGGGAGTCTTCCCTCCTCTTGAATTCTTGAATTGTTTGAGAAGTGTTAGTTCTTGGAATGTTTGTTAAAATTCACTTATGAAACCATTGGGTTCAGGACTTTTGTTTTTTAGAAATTTTTTATTGCTTCTTCAATTTCACTAATTGTGATCTGTTTATTCAGTTTACCTGATTATTCCTGACTTAGTTTTATAAGACTGTATGTTTTTAGGAATTTATCCATTTCCTTCAGATTGTTCAATTTGTTCTTATGTAAATGTTCATGATATTTTCTTAGAAGCATTTGTATTTCTTTGATGTCAGTTGTTACTTCTCTTTATTTCTGATTTTATTTATTTTGGGTCTTTTCTTTTTTCCTCTTGATTTCATTGATTTGTTTGGTATTTTATAAGACTCTATTTCGTTTATTTCTGCTTTGATCTTTATTATTTTCTTTCTTCTACTTTGGGTTTTCTTTGTTGTTCTTTTTCAAGATTCCTTAAGTTTCAAGTTGGCTTGCTTACTTGAGATTTTTCTTGTTTCTTGAGAAAGGCTTGTAATTCTGTGAACTTCCCTTTTAAGAACTGCTTTTCCTTTGTCCCATAGATTTTGGGTTGTTGTGTTCTCATTTTCATTTGTTTCATGGAATCTTTTAATTTCTTCCTTGATCTCATTGTTGACCCATTCATTGTGTAGTAACATGTAATTTAGCCTCCATGCGTTGGTGTGTTTTTCCATTTTTCCTTATGATGATTTCTAGTTTCATACCATGATGGTCAGAAGACTGAAATTATATCAAGAAGCTTCTGACCACACAAAAAGCTCATTACATCTACACTTTTAAATTTTAGTACCTTTTATAACCCTGGCTGGTGTTCCTCAGTGGATTGAGTGCCCAGCTGTGAACCAAAAGGTCACTGGTTCGATTCCCAGTCGGGGCACACGCCTGGGCTGCAGGCCCCGTCCCCAGTTGGTTCTCTCCCTCTCTTTCTCCTTCCCTTCCCCTGTCTCTAAAAATAAATAAAATCTTTAAAAAGTTTAGTACCTTTTACTTAACTGGCACAATATTATAATGAATTCAGCAATATCCACTGTGTAAGACACAAGGTAAATGATTAATGTCTATAAAGCCACGGCAATGCTAGCATCATCATGTTTTTAGTCCTTACTTAACAGTTTCTCCCAATTACTTGGAAACAGATTTCTCCGTTTCCTGAGTCAGGAAATTCTGACATATCATTTCATCTTTTTCTGTATCATTAGATGTAGCAGGTGCATCTGAACCATGAGGAAAATGAATCTTCTAATCTCCCTTTAAAAAAAAACACACAACCTAATGAATTGTTTTTTTCTGGAATTTTCTCCTTATTTATTTTTCCATTACAGTTACATTCAGTATTATCTTGTATTGGTTTCAAGCGTACAACAAAGTTGTTAATCGTCAACGTCACACAGTGGTTCCCCTGTTATTTCAAGAACTCACCTGGCACCATACATTGTCATTACAATATTACCGACTGTATCCCTGTGCTGCACTTGACATCTCCATGACTATTTGGCGACTTCCAATCCGTATAACCTCCCTTTTTAAAGCAAAAGATCGGTCTCCAGAATCAGACAGATGAGGATTTTAACCTCTTCCCCACCTGTGATGAACGGTGTGACTGTGGGCAATTTCTTAAGGCCTCATTTTTTGAATACAATTTTTGTGGTTAGGAATCTGGGAGTGGTTTTGGGGAGGGGGAGTTCTAGCTTCTAGCTCAGGGTTGCTCATGAGACTACAGTCAAGATGTTGGTCAGTGGTGCAGTCATCTAAAGGGCTAATGTGTCCCTGGAAGGTCCACTTTCCAAATGGTTCACTTACATGTTTGGCCAGTTGCTGCTGGCCATTTGCTTTAGTGGACTTTTCCAGTGTCCTCATAACATGATGGCTGTCTTCTACTTGAGTGAATGTTCAACCATATTTGATTAGAACAATGGTGGTGGCGTATCATTCAAGCAAATAAGACAAATTGATTATGTATTTCAACATTTAAATGAAGCAGAATATTTTTAAATTTTCCTTTTGAAGTGAAGTTAACAATAATTCTTGACTGTGTCTGGGAGGGTTTCTGGGCTTTGGGGGTTGTGGTCTTCTCAAATAGTATGACTGCTTTAGCATTTCACAGAAAGCTTTGAATGTTTACTTTGAGACATCAGTCTTTCACTGATCATATTTATCTACATAAAGTTCTCCAGAGGCTTTAATTTTGAGGTTTGAATTTTTATATACCAAGTGAAACAGAAAATAATTTTAAGGGGAGCATTTTGTAAAAAGAATAAATAGTTGCCATGGATTATATCCATGAATTTTTTGGAATGGCCATTTAAGGCCATTATTTTATATACTTAAAATATATTAGTGGGGATGTTGTGAGCGAGGCAGCATCCCTGAAAGAAGTCACTCACACAACGCGAGATTTATTACGGGAGATGAGCCAATAAGCCAGGAGAGTCACATGCAGGTTACACACAGAGAGGGGGAGCTTACACAATAGAAGCAAGCAGAGTGTGTGTGGGGCCATGAAGTCCTCGTCACTGGCCCAGATCACAGGTAGAGAGATGGGCATTGTCTCAAGCCATATGGCCAAAGTGGTGGCAGGGTCCAGTGGAATGGAAGTCTGGCAGGACTCCAAGGGTGACCCATGGTACAGCCAAGCTCCAGTATTCGGTGCTGGGGCTCTGAGTTATTGCCAGCCAGTAGTGGAGGTCCCACTTGTACTGGTAACCAGATGGAGTCCTTATCCAGGTGTCCAGACTTGTGGTTTTGGGCATTGCTGTTACACCCCATTAACGCAGTCCTCACATAACACTTGACATAACTGTCATGGCTGACAGCGACTCCATATTAGATTGTTAAAGATGTCCAGAAAGTTCACTCTGCTCTTCCTGTAAATGGAGGAGGAAATAAAATCCAAATAGATTGTATTGAAAAAGCCCAACATGTTCTTTGGAGCATCTTTTAAGCGATGTTGGTTTCTTAGGAATTGTAATAACTGGAACTTTTTATTTTCTGCAGATATATCAAGCAAGTTGTTTCATTATTTATTTTCTTAATAAGTTACCAAAATCCAAAAATTGGGAGGGAGAGGCAGCAATAAGTTTTTGGAGCAATACAACACTTTGTGAGAAACAAGGAAATACTTTGGAACCCCAACCAGGGTCTTATACCAGTGTTAATACTGAGTAAACTCATGCTCAACTGTCTCCCTCCCTTCTCCTCTTTCCTCTTGGAACCCTAGCATTCTGCTTTTTCTAATGTCCTTGTGATCTGAAGCTGGCATCCTCGTTTATCTGTCATCCCGCCCACACCAGAGCCTGACTAGGGACCCCTTCAGGACTCCCTGCCTCCACCCGGGCCAGACCTCTGGATTTTGCCCTCGCAGTGCTGCCCAGCCCTGCTTTCTTTTCATTTCTTTCCTCTTTCCTACTGCCTTTTCCCCAGCGTCAGGTCCTTTCCCTCCTGGGCTACTGCTGTGGCTCCTGATGGTCTCTGGGCCCCCCCATGTTGCACCCTCTAAGCTGCTTCCAGATTTTGTCTGCCTCCAAGTCTTTCACGTTCACTCAGTTTATTAAATGAAGATCCAGTGTCTCAGCCTGCCACTGGAGTGCCCCACCCAAAGGCACCAAGCTACCTTTTCCATTTAATATTATCACCTTCCCTTTGCCTATCCTAAAAGGGACTCAGCTTTTATCTGACTTCTCTTCTTTCTTAGTTCTTCACTTATGCTGTAAATGCTGTGGGTTGAAATCCCACCCATCCTTTAGTGCCTGTCTCAACTGCCATCTCTTTTGCAAAGATTTTCCCATGGCCTCTTCTCCTCCACAAGACTTCTTGTCTTTCTTTTTAGGACACTAACTGAACTTTGTATCCCTCATGATATTCAATCATAATCAGTTTCTTTTAATATACCATGCAAGTACTTACCTTATTATTCCTGCAAGATTATAATATACTTGAAAGGCAGATACAATCATTCATTCTCCTGTCAACTCCTAGGCATGGGTTTTGACAACAGGACTTAAATAAAAATTTGTATAAATCTCTTTTTAAAAGTATTTAAAACAGGAAACAGCGAAATTTGTGTTTATTAGACACAATGTAAAGTCATACAGAATCAAGAAATTACATATATAAATATAGACACTTAAGTATATGTGTATTTATCATTTTGCTAAAATGCCTTTGTTCCAGTATTGAAGGATACATGGGTGTAGGGCACTACTTTTTATTCCCGGACTGCCCCCACCCCCAGCCGCCACCAACAAAAATATTAGCTTTTTCCCTGATTACAATTTTAAGACAGAAAACGGGCTTTAAATTATGTTTAGCTTGGGACTCTGAAAAGAAACGCTGTGAAACGTTTCCTAAAAGGAGACAAGTTGCTTTGAGGTGCTGGAGAAGACTCGCCCTTAAGAACCCCTCTAGAGATGTCTTAAATCTGGCGGGCGAGGAGCTTTGGCAGCGGGGTGTGGGGCGCGCTCAGTCCCGGACTTCCGACTCCGCCAAACCCGGTCCCGTTCGCCTCCCAGCCTCCCGCTGCAGCCCAAGGCCTCAGTCGCACACAGTCTCCTCCAGGTCGGGGCCTGGCCAGAGGGCGTGGGGGGCGGGGCTGGCCTAGCAGTTCCGACGGTGGGGGCGGGGGTTCAGGGTCCCGGAGGCGGGAAGCTGCTCTTGGTTGGGGTTTCTAGTTGAAGTGCAAGAAAACAACCGGTCCATCCAGGCGGAGCCGTGCGGGCGGGGCGAGGGCGGAGGGCACATTGCTTCATCCTGTACATTTTACTGGAAACCGAGCGCATCCGGAGGAGGGTCTGGACGCCCAGACACCACCGCCAATCACCAGGCCGGGTTTGGGGGAGGTTGGCGCTTTCTCCCCGCCCCTGGCCCCCGAAGGCGGGTTATAAAGCTGGGCCGACGAGGGCCGCGCCCGTGCCCGCGCCGTCCTCCCTCCGGTAGGTCTCGGTCCCATCACAGCCACAGCCTCAGCCGGGGGCAGCGCGCGCAGGTTTCTGGGGGTCCCCGAGCGCCGCGTCTGGGAGCATGATCGTGGACAAGCTGCTGGACGACAGCCGTGGCGGAGAGGGGCTGCTGGACGCTGCTGGGGACGGCGGCCTCATGACCAGCCCGCTCAACTTGGCCTACTTCTACGGCGCGTCGCCGCCTGCCGCGGCCCCGGGCGCCTGCGACGCCAGCTGTTCCGCGTCGGGGCCCTCGGCGCCCGGATCGCCGGGTTCTGACTCGTCCGACTTCTCCGTCTCGTCAGCGTCCTCCTGCGGGGCGGTGGAAACCCGGCCGAGAGGCGGCGCCCGAGCCGAGCGGCTGCAAGGTACCCACCGGCCCGGGTCCGGGCGGCCCCAGCACCCAGTCCACCCCCAGCCCACACACCTCCAGGAGGGGAGAGTCTAGATACGAAGTGCCTCGACCGGGTGCTAGGTGGCTTCTGCGTTTTTCGTAGCAGCAGTACATGATCACACGAGCCAATTGTTAGGCGACTACTGCATGTTTTAGCCCGTGCTGGGGTTTTGATATAACTCGATGCCTTTTGACCGTCTGTGAAGTCCGGGTGCCGTCCAGCTGGCTTCGGAGCTTGGAACGCCTCTCGGAACCAAGAGCTCTGTCCTCGAGTGGGGTGGGGGTGGGAGGACGAGCCACGTTGGATTTTCCTCCCCTCTTCCTTTTTATTAAGTAGCTTTATTAAGCTGTAATTCACATACTATGGTGAGGTTTGGGATCTGACGTAAATGTAGGTTTTTTTTTCTTGTGGCTTTTTGTGTGCGTGAAAAGGTTTGAGCACTCTGTTTAAGGTCATGACTTATTTCTTCCTAAGTATTTGTGGAAATTTTAAGTAAAAGGACTTAATGTTAAAGGAAAAAACTCGATATTATCAAGACAGGTGAAGCTGGACTGGAAACCGACTGAGCTGCCCACTCAGGGCCAATTAGTTTCTTTTCTTAATGAACTGAGTTGCGTAATCTGGAGGAAAACAGGATACCACTGTGGGTACACTGCGGAACTCTAGATAACCTCAGCTGTTGGGGGGTATAATCAGCATGGTTTAAAGAAAGTTCTCTTTTAGGTGTTCTCCACTGTTAGTCAGTGCTGTTTCGGTTGTATTTTATTTTAAAAAGTGGTTTCCATTTTCATTTAAAGAAGTGATTTAAACCACTTGTTTGTATAAGGTGCTCTCTGTGTGTTGTCAGTAAAAGCAAAAATGTGTGTGTGTGTGTGTGTGTGTGTGTGTGTGTGTGTGTGTGTGTGTAGAACCTTTTCCCTGTGTTTGGGTTTCATCTGGTTGAAACTGTTGGCTAATTCCTTGACTTACGGCACAACCACAGGGGATTTCTGAAACTGATTTTTTCTTCCTGTGATGTTGAATTACTAACTCCTGTCATTCCAGAGAAATGTTGTGTTAGATTCTGGCAAGATATTCCTAAACTTCAACATGAAATGGGCTAGTCATTTCATCTGCTCCATCATTAAATTGTTTCTTTCATATATTTATGATATGTATGTTCAACTTATGCATTGTTTTCTTGTCCCATCTTTTCCCTTTTTCCTCCACTTTCTGTGAAGTGGCAGAATTATTCATTTCCTGACTGCTTGCAGGTTTACTTTGTGTTTATCTCATCCCAAGAGGTTGTGGCACAGTAATGGTCAGAAGTGGAATGCTCTATCAGACTACATTTTAAAGTGTGTTTTAAAGTTTAAATGTGAAATCAGATTACGGATTTCCTTTTTACTTAGAAGGCCTCTGTGAGCAGTTTCAAAAACAGTCTGAGGGAAAATCCTGCATGTGTGTGCACAAGTGTGTTTTAGCTCAGTGAATTTGAGCAGTTTTCTTGGCATAGCTGATTGAACTGAGCAAAATAAGAACCAAATCTAAGACATTGTTCATTGTTAGGCTTTGCTACGTTAAGATCTTTGGAGGAAGTTTGTTTTGTGCTTTCTTACTTGAGTAGATTAACAGACTTAAATTTTTATGTGGATACAAAGTCTGGTTTGAAAACTTAAAAATTCAGCATTTATCCCTTGCTTCCCCAAAGTTTTTCATAAGTCAAGAATAATTGTAGGTCTGTGAGTGTTAGGGTGGCAAATCTGTGATACTGTCTTATAGGTTAATAGAGCTAAGACAGCCTTGATTTGAGTTTTTCTATTGACTCTGAACACCTGAAAGTACATTTGTAGGAGCTTTCATTCTTTAAGGTGCCTGATCAGGAAAGGTGTCAGGCAGCGTCAGACCTTAAGTAGGGCTGATGTGTAGACCACTGACCAGAATGAATTGGAAAGGCATGGCATTCTGGCGATTGGGGGCTTCATACATTAGGTAGTTATGCTTTGAAGTTACTAAGGTTTGTGCCTGTGAAGAGATTTAATTGGGCTATGTTCTGTTTTCTTTTGAACAGTTGAGCCCCATATGGGGGTTGGAAGGCAGCAGAGAGGACCCTTTCAAGGTGTTCGAGTGAAGAACTCAGTGAAGGAACTCCTGCTGCACATCCGAAGTCACAAACAGAAGGCTGCCAGCCAAGCCACGGATGATTTTAAGGTGGCAACTATTTTTTGTTTTGGGACGGGGTCAGGAAGGCTAGTCTGTTGGGGTTATTCTTCTTTGTTCACCTAAGTCCAGTAAGAGTTTTGTGGACCACAAAGTCCATAGGACAGAGAACATATGTGCCTTGCTGTCTGTCGTGTTCCTATCACTTAGCCTAGTGCCAGGCACTTGGTAAGTCACAAGAGAAATTGAATGAGTGACCAAATGAAGGCAAATTAGGAGGCAAGGAAACAAATGGAGTTCAACTGAAATGGAACATTTGGACTAGAAAGGGAAAACTCAAATGGCCATATTTTTTTATCTTAATGTAGTTGAACTAAGGTGAAAGTGCAAACAAGGGAACTTGCAAGATAGAATGAGAATTAAGATAGAACATAAATACCAAGAGACTACCTATATCAAAGCTTTATGGTAAGCTGTAAAGAGTGGTAGAGATAAGTATGCTGATTGCTGTATGTTAAGCAGGAAGCCATTTAATATTGCGCTAAATTGGAAACCTTTTTTCCTTATAGACCCAAGGTGTGAACAGAGAGCAATTCACAGGTAAGAGTTACTTCTATTCATGATGTTATAGGGGCTTTAGAGTGAAATAATATAGCGTGATTATGGGTGAAATTTCCTAGGTAAAATGATCACAGATTCCGTATTTCTTCCTTGTGTATAGAATTGACAAACACGGTGTTACATAGTAGGAAAAGGAAAGGACCTGACTCGCTGTCTGATGGACCAGGTTGCAAAAGGCCAGCTTTGCTGCATACCCAGTTTTTGGTAAATATCTCACTATTTTCCTCTGAATACCTTTTGGAAATTATCCCTGGGATAATTTTGGAAGGAAGGTGCTATTTCCCTTTTCTTTCCAGACACCACCTCAAACGCCAACACCTGCGGAGAGCATGGAAGATGCTCATCACAGTGAGCCCAAACCGGACAGCAGTGCCGATCTGCTTCAAAACATTATCAACATTAAGAACGAATGCAACCCAGTTTCCCTGAATACAGTCCAAGTTAGCTGGGTGAGCCCTGTGGGGGTCCCTCAGAGCTCTCCCCGAGAGCAGTGTCAGGACTTCCATAGAGGGCAGGTCTTCAGTCCACCTCAGAAGTACCAACCGTTCCAAGTCAGCAGCTCCCCGCACATGATGGATCAGGCTTCCATGTACCAGTATTCTCCACAGAACCAGAACGTGCAGCAGCAGCCGCAGCCTTATACCCACAATCCACCTCTGGAATACAGTCCCTATTCCAGAACGTCCCAGTCCCCCAGCTATGAACCCAACGTCTTTGATAACCAAGAACTACAGTTCTGCCCAAACCAAAGTTTTGCATCCCTTCTAAACAGTCATGGGGAATGTGAGAACGTTACTATTCCTGTTCAGACTTCCCCCAGTATTCAGCAACAGCATGATGCCCACGTGCAAAACTTCAGCATGATGCCACACAGTGCCTGTGAGGCCATGGTGGGGCATGACGCAGGGTCTCTGCCGTTAAGCAGTTCGCTGCCATTCCAGAACATTATCGGAAATCCAATGAACACCACACAGTTAGGGAAGTCATTTTTTCAGTGGCAAGTGGAGCAGGAAGAAAGCAAATTGGCAAATATCTCCCAAGACCAGTTTCTTTCAAAGGATGCAGATGGTGACACGTGAGTATCCCTTTAGCTCACGTACCTCATTTGGTGAACTGTACTTGTTACGTGTGGTGGGCAGAGAATTTCTCTATGTGTCCCAAGTCAGACATTAGTAAATGGTTGGCTAATCAAGATGATCATTGTAGGTAGAAATTGCTGTTCAATGATAGTTAATATTTTGAGAAAGAGTTTTTCCTCCTTTTTTTCCCCCCTGGCTGAACAAATTACCTGTTTTAAATTACTAAAAATATGCATCATCTTCGAATGATTAGTTTCAAAAGACCAGCATATACTGTACCTATAGGGAAAAAAACAGATAATGATTAGCTGGTCACGGCAACTGTGAGTTGATTTGTAGATTGAATACTTAACTGTCTTGATATTTTTGTGGCCTTGGGTGAGTTATATAAGTTCTTTGCCTTAGTTTCCTGACTTGTAAAATGATAATACCTCCCTCATAGAGGTTTTTTAAAAAAATTTTTAGGGAGAGGAGAAGAAGGGAGGGAGAAAGAGAGAGAAACATCAATGTGTGAGATGTGTGAGAGAGACATCAATAGGTCGCCTTTCGGAGTCCCCAACCAGGGACCTAGCCCACAACCTTGGGCATGTGCCCTGACTGGGAATTGAACCAGGTACCTTTTGGTTCACAGGCCAGCATTTAATCCACATGAGCAAGGGCATTTGTACAAATATTAAAAGTAATAGGTTTAAAGTGATCATCATGGTGCTTGGCATCCTTTTTTTTTTTCCTTTCTCATAAAGCTAATTCATCCTGTCACAAATCAGATTTATCACCCTTGCAGAAAAGACAGTTTATGCTTCGTAATGTTTTATTTGCATGAACCAACATATTGAGAAAGAGGCTAAAAAAGTATTTTTTTAAAGACAAACTTAGTGAAGTCAGAAGAAATTCACCTCTTTTCCTTTCCTTGTTTCCTAGATTCCTCCATATTGCAGTTGCCCAAGGGAGAAGAGCACTTGCCTATGTCCTTGCAAGAAAGATGAATGCCCTTCACATGCTGGATATTAAAGAGCACAATGGACAGGTGAGCACCTTGACGGAGTGAAATGGCACAGATTCTGTCATCGTGATGAGAATGGCAGCCAGTCTCACATTTATTTACAAGTAGTTTCAGAGCTCAAGACCAAGAGAGTTTAGTTAATATTAACTTTGAGATGTTGACTCTTCGCCACCATCAACCTTGAAGTTATTAACATTAACTTTGTAGTTACTTGACCAAAGACCAACTGGGTATAATAAAGCCACACCCAAAGTTCATTTTAGTTTTCTACTGTTACAGTATCTTACTACTTATTAATAGGATTTTTTTTTCTGTGCAAGTTTTCCCCTCAGTTTATGTTCATATGCCTTGTTATGGTAGTGGTACATGTTTTAAAAATATATTTGTCTTCTGAATGTCCACAGAGTGCCTTTCAGGTGGCAGTGGCTGCCAATCAGCATCTCATTGTGCAGGACCTGGTGAACCTTGGGGCCCAGGTGAACACCACCGACTGCTGGGGAAGAACCCCTCTGCACGTCTGTGCTGAGAAGGGCCACTCCCAGGTGCTACAGGTAAGAGGCAGTGGGCCAGGCTTCCATCACCCTTTGTCACAGGGCTTGAAGTTGGGTTAGAAGGGTTAGAAGTTGGATGTGGGTTGCCTGTTGTAATAATCTATTTTGAGTTGACTTATCATTTCTTGGAATACTAATAGGCAAGTGTTTGTGTAGCTTGTCTCTTGTTAACAGATAATCTGTTTTTAAATTTTGCAGGCAATTCAGAAGGGTGCAGTGATGAGCAGTCAGTTTGTGGATCTCGAGGCAACTAACTATGATGGTAAGCAAATGACAATTTATTGGGTGAAAAGCCATTTATAGAAAGGGTCCATTAGTTCTAAAGGTATATTAAGTTTCATACCAAGAAGGAAGGGAGGTAATTAAAGATAAAATATTCTGTAGATAAAATACAGCAGTAAGATCTGAAGGAGGGATCATTCAGGTTGCCTTCCTAGTTCTTATGGAGCCTTTTCGTATGGGCACGTTAGAGACCATCTGCAAGGTTTGTATTGTAGAACAATTGAAAGGCCGGGTAGTGTGCTTGACCAACCACTGCCTTATTTTAATTTTTCTAGGCCTGACTCCTCTGCACTGTGCGGTCATCGCCCACAACGCTGTGGTGCACGAACTCCAGAGAAATCAACAGCCCCATTCACCGGAAGCTCAGGAGCTTTTACTAAAGAATAAGAGTCTGGTTGACACTATTAAGTGTCTGATTCAAATGGGAGCATCAGTGGAAGCTAAGGTAAATTTACAGCAGAGTTTGGAAATAGGATAGGGGAGAAAAGTGGTTTCAGCAAAGACCAATTCCTAAGTAGAGATTAAAACAATTTTCCCATTTTTTTGTAACGGAGTTGAGTGGCAAAGTATAGGGATAGTTAAGAAGCTTAGATTTTATAAGACTATCTCATCTGCTTTCTTGGCTTACTTTTAATCTTTGGATTATTAAGCATAGGTCGTTTATCTATGAAATAAATAAGTCTTTGAAATGAAAAAAATGCTTGAAATTAATCTTGCTATTTTGGCACCCATTTTCATAGACTGATAATCATGGTGGTGCTTTTTGTAAGGGTTGCTTGAGCTTCCATTTTTTTGTTTTTTTTTTTAATGGAAAGCAGTTTCTTCTCTTCATATTTGAGATTTATTTACCGAGTACCTCCTATGTACAATGCACTGAGTTAGAGGCTCTGGGGAAGAAAATGCCTAAATCATACGCTGTGATTTAGGGTCCTGGGTCCTTTGGGACCTGATTGTCTAATAGAAAAGGTGAGAAGTGTAAATGTAACTAATTATAAGTCTACAAGGTGTCTACCAAGTCTGGAAACATGGGCAAGTACATGATACATGCTTTATTGCATTATATTACACTGCATGATGAAACAGTATAGTCCGTGTTTCTGCATTTTATGGCCACCCTGTATGCAAGGGTAGACTGATAAGAGGCATAAAGGCAAATTAATAGGGAAATAACAGGAATGAGAGATTTCGTGTAGTTTGGGGTTAAGGAAGGCTTTGTGGAGGAAGATACAAAGTGTTCTCCAGGGGTGAGTCAAGTATTTGAGAGACTGGTTGAAAAGCATATTAAGACATGGTGTGTGGACGTTCATGCTTTTTTCCCTCTTGCCTTTGACAAGGATCGTAAAAGTGGCCGCACAGCCCTGCATTTGGCAGCTGAGGAAGCAAATCTGGAACTCATTCGCCTCTTTTTGGAGCTGCCCAGTTGCCTGTCTTTTGTGAATGCAAAGGTACTTTTTGAAAACTTCAGTAACGGCATCAAAGTTAGAACTTTTTTTTACACCACTTTCAAGCTTTTGAGCTGTTTTCATGGGAGTCCCTTTCTTGACAGATGTCATTTTGTCTCTTTGCCCTCAGGCTTACAATGGAAACACTGCCCTGCACGTTGCTGCCAGTCTGCAGTACCGCCTGACCCAGCTGGACGCGGTCCGCCTGTTGATGAGGAAGGGAGCAGACCCAAGCACTCGGAACTTGGAGAACGAACAGCCAGTGCATTTGGTTCCTGATGGCCCTGTGGGAGAACAGGTGAGGGTTACAGAAGCAACAGGAAATGTTTTCAGGCACTGGGTCTGAAATGTCAGGGGCGATAAGGTTGTTCAGGTGGAGGCCAGCTGGTGCTCTTCAGGCAGGTTCTGTCAGTGTTTGTGTCTGTCGGTATTAAATGAGTCAGGATGTGCGGAGTGTTCAGGAAAGTCCAAGGCACATTGTAAGGGCTCCGTACACAGCAGCTCTTACAATTACTTCTATCTCCTAACTGGTACTAATTGAGAAATAGAAGATATTTATGTAATTTAGAACCTTGAACTATTTTATACTTTGAACAGAATTATACTTTACTCATCATATGGTTATATATTTTCTTTGGGGATTGAATAGTTTCACATGATTGAACTTTTCTTGACAATAAGAACTCAATGTTTTAAGAATGTTAGTTTTTTAAGATTTTATTTGTTTATCTTTAGAGGAGAAGGGAAGGAGAGAGGGAAAGAAATATCAATGCATGGATGCCTCTCGTGCATCCCCTGCTGGGAACTGGCCTGCAACCCAGGCATGTGCCCTGACTGGGAATTGAATCGCAATCCCTTAGCTCACAGGCCCGAGCTCAATCCACTGAGCTACACCAGCCAGGGTTTAAGAATGTTGGATATTTTTGATGGAATTTTTCCCTGGAGGAAATGAAGGTGATTGTGCCTATGAGAAGGTCGTGGCATATTGTGATAAACGCAAAATAAAATACATGAAATGCAGTTTAACTTTTTCTTTGATTCACATTCCTCATATGAGCATAATTTTATAGGAACCCACAGAAAGGAGTATATTCACGCCTGTGAATAAGGATCTTACTGAAGCTGATGGAGATTTTCAGCTTCAGATCATTTTAATGGAGGCGCTCTTGCATTCAAAGATTGGTGCTTAACCACCAGTACTCTAACTCCTTTGAAAGGCGTTAGAGTATTTTTTAGGTTACCTTAAAATCTTGACATGTTGCATATATCTTACTCTACTTACAGCTTGACAGGATGGTATAGAGTATGTAAGAGAGTAATGAAACGATAAAGGAAATATGGGGCTTTGTCCATAAAAAATAAACTTACAGATCCTATTTGTTTCCATTCCAGATCCGACGTATCCTGAAGGGGAAGTCCATTCAGCAGAGAGCTCCACCGTATTAGCTCCACTGACCTGGAGCCTGGTGGGCAACACTCACTGTCAGTTAGGCAGTCCTGATATATCTGTACATAGACCATTTGCCCTGTATTGGCAAATGTAAGTTGTTTCTATGAAACAAATATATTTAGTTCACTATTATATAGTGGGTTATATTAAAAGAAAAGAAAACTATTAATTCCTCTTGGCAGATTTTCATATTTCATACCCAGGTATCTGGGATCTCTAGACATCTGAACTTAATATGAATGGTAAAATTAATTTCAATTAATAGTAGCTTTTGGTTAGGAAGAGGCTTTGATTTGTGGCATAAAGCATTACTCAGACAGCTATTGCCGATTTAAAAGCCGGTAAATTGTAAACATTCTTTAAAGAAAAATGAAGGCATTTGGAAGGAAAAAAGAAATCTGGATGTACCGTTGAGGCTTTGTTTTGGTATGTTGCAGTACCTGGTAGTTACTGGCTTGAAAAGTCTCTAGCCATTGGACTAGATGAAAGATACCGTGGTTAAAATTTGATTTGATTTTTCAAGCTGTATATAATGGTTATTTTTGTCTTTTAGAATATTTGTGCATGTTTTGTCATTAACATGGCTGCATTCGAAATGTGTAAATCAATAAAATAGAAAAGAACAAGTAAAATGTCACTATTTTAAAAAATAGCACACATTAAAAGGAGCTCTGGCACCAGCTACAGTCTAGTAGATGAAGCAGATGGAGAACTGTTTCCCTAGGGGCTGACAGATTTCTGTTTAAATTTTAAATATGCTTTCTCTCATGCACTGAAATGAGACATTTGTAGAGATCGCATGTTCTTACAGAGAACACCTCTCTCTGGCTCACTTTCTAGAATTAATAATTCACTTGTTCCGTTAGGAATTTTGTTTTACTGTTATAAAAACAACAAAAAGTCAACATCGAAATGTGTCTCACTGGGTTTCCATGTCAGATAATGACAATGCGCCATGATGTTTCTATATAACCAGAAAAAAGTCCTTTATTTTTTAGTGAAACTTAATTCTGTTAATACTATTTTGCTTACCTCTGGTGTACCCTGAGGAACATACTCGGATTTGATTGCACACTAATTCTTTGTATACATTCGATTTAGTAAAAACTTTTTGTTTTTAGATGAGAAGTTTCACAAGCAACTGACTGATCATTTTTGTAGTTTAAATCCTATTTAAAAAGATAACTTTTGAATTGATCACTTTGTTTGATCCAGTATGTCTTGTGGACAGAAGTTATAGTTATTTGGTATCTGTAAATATGGTTATGAAATGAAACAGTGTTTACACTCATGGAAAAACTCATGCATGATTTAAAATAAACATTAATTCAGTAATACTGTTCGTGTTACGGATGTCCATTTTCTTTTCCTAGGCCCTTGTTTATACTTCCCTAGTTTGAAAAAGTGTAACTAATTACTAATCTAAATACCTTTAACTTAGCTAATACATTTCAATTTGGATTTTTTAGAGAACCTTTTTCCTATAGGTACATAACATCAAAAAAAAAAAACTGCCAAGTTTATAAAGGTATATTAGGTTCTGAAAATATGGAAGTTTAATATTGATCATTTAGATGTTTATATGCTAAAAAAGCTGAAGTCTTTATGAGTTTATTGTTTTATGTTTTATTTTGTGGGCAGTGAGCATAGGAAAAACAATTTGGAGATTACCAGGATCACCCTGAAAGATGTAAACCTGGAAAAGCAGTAAACGGGGTCCTGCTCTTTCCCATTTTGACATGTGAGAACAAACACCAGCACCTCTGTCCTCATCAGTCAGTTTCTGCATATTTCAGTTTTTATAGCCTCTTCAGAATGTGGTGAGTCCCTTCCCTGGGAAAACACCTATGCACATATGTACAGGTGCTGTGTGCAGTATCAGAGACGTCACAGCTACCAGACGTCCACAACTCACAGGTTAAGAATCTACTGTGGTTTCATTTCTTCATATCAAATAAAATTTTTCTTCTTTTCTATAAATACAATCCTGTTGTAAATGCAACTTAATAACCAGAACACTATAAATGATACCCCTAACTGAACACAGATTTATAATAAGCTTTTTCCCAAGTGAGCTTACGTGTTCTCTCCATCAACCTATGTGGTCCCATAATTGAACTATTGTTTAGCAAGCATGTGATTTCATGTGTGTGTGTGCAAAGCTATTTGCAACAGATAATACGAGGCACTCAGACAAAGTACTCATTTTTTATCCTTAAGATGCTCCGTGGGAGATATGACATGCACTTTATTAGATACAATAAAATATGGGAAGAAACAGGTTCAGGGAAGGAATTTATATCCAAATGCAGAGAACTGGGAAATGTCAAGGCAGAGCATTTGAGCTGTGTGTTAAGAAGAGCTGATTCCAATGCTCATCATGGTGGACGGAAAAGTGAAAGACAAACAAAATGGCATGAACTAAGGCAGTAGCATTTTGTAGGAAACCACAGGTTAGTGTTTGCTTAGGATCTGGGTGGCTATTAAGTTTCATCTTACATTCCACCTTTGACTGATAGTTGCTCCGGCCCGCGGAGCAATCAACTGGGGCTCGACCACCTACCTAGAACAAATGAGTTGGGGGGACAAGAGGCGCGAAGATTGGCAGCAAGACAAAAGATTCTGATCAAGCTGCAAACTTTATTTTTCCGAACTGGGTATATATATAGGGGGGGGAGGGAGAGGAAGGAGATTAGGTTGCTTGCTATTGGCTAGCTTGAGACGAAGAAGGGCCCGCTTATTGATTACTTGGGTGCCACTGGTACTCGTGGACACCTCATGTGCCTGTAGCTGATTGGCTTGTGGAGCGCATGCACACCTCATGTACCTGTAGCCGATTGGCTTTGTGGAGCGCACAGGTTCCTGTAATCAATGCAAAGTTTTTAGCTAGAAGCCAGGTGTAAGGTTCCCAACAGATAGTAGTCTCATGAGTCTCATAGGTATGTCCAACCTGTGGCCTGTGGGCCGCATGTGGCTGAGGATGGCTATGAATGAGGCCCAACACAAAATCGTGAATTTACTTAAAAACAGATTTTGTCGTGATTGTGTGTTGCAGTGTGTTTAATATGTGGCCCAAAACAACTCTGCTTCCATTGTGGCCTAGATACGCCAAAAGGTTGGGCACCCCTGATAGGGTTAGCAGGAGAGTGCTGTGACTGATGAGCAATATCTGCCTCACAGTTATGGGGGTGGCACTTGATGGAACACATTAAAGAACGAGGCCCCCACAGAAACCAAGGCTATGTGGTCATTGCTGCAACCTCGATGCCTAGCACAGTATAGGAGCTCATAAATACTGGTAAAATGGATGCATGGATGGATGGAAGCCAGTCCTGATGGGAATCACCTTTCTGGGGTAAGTGTGTTTCTAGCCAGAGTTATATTTTTATGAACTAATGAGTATCATAGTTCTGAATTTAGCCATATAATTTCATAATGACATCAGTGATGTTAATGAAGTTGGGCAGAGTTGTACTCTTTAAAAATTCAGGCAGTTCCTCTGCAAAGGACTGACTCTAGATACTATGGTATTTCACTAAGGAATTCCCTGAAGTGTCAGAGACCAAATCATCAGCTTTATTTGTTAATTAAGTCAGTAACATTTAATATCTTTTCTATATTTTCACTTAATTAGGAGTGGAGAATTTTCTGAAACTCCTATAGCATTTTATAAATGCCAACTTCTTAAATTCAGTACCACTGACTTCCATTTTCTGATAACATTAGTTCCGTATTAACCATGACCTCAGGGAAAAATCAACTCAGCCACTGGCTAAGTTTTCAGCGGTCCCACTGAGTTCAGGCCTCACAGACTGCTGGTGTTTTGTTTTTTCTGCTGGGGCCCTGGATTTGTCCTTGAGAGGAAGGGAGGGACCATCTAATTCATCATCAGAGGCCCTGCTCCTAGCATAGTATCTGACATAGAGTAGGTATTTAGTAATTCTTCTTAAATTGTTTTCAAGTTATTTTTTTAACTTTTTGAATCAGAACTATTTATTTATTTACTTACTTATTGTTGTTCTAATAGAGTTGTTTCAGTTTTCCCCTTTTGCTGTCCCCTGCCCCACCCATTCCCCTCACCATGTTCCTGCCTTCCACAGTCAGTCACCACCCTGTTGTCCATGTCTCTGGGTCATTTATACCTGCTCCTCGACTAGACCCTTCCACTTCTTTCCCCTCTTATCTCCTCACTCCGCTCTGGTGGCTATTAGTCTGTTCCTTGCTTCCATGCCTCTGGGTCTATTTTGCTTGTCCATTTGTTTTGTTCATTAGGTTCCTCCTATAGGTGAGATTACATGGTATTTCTTTCACCACCCGGCTTATTTCACTTAACATAATACTCTCCAGTTCCATCCATTCATTCACAAAAGGTAGGAGTTCCCCTTTTTTCCTGCCGCATAGTATTCCACTGTGTAAATGTGTACCATCCTTTTCCATCCACTCATTTACTGAGGGGTACTTAGGCTGTTTCCAGCACTTGGCTATTATAAAGTTGCTATGAAAATAGGGGTGCATAGTTTCCTTTCAATTGGTGTTTCAGGATTTTTAGGGTATAACCCTGGCAGTGGAATTGCCAGGTCAAAAAGCAGTTCCATTTTTAGCTGTTGGAGGAAATTGAGAAAAATTCCATACTATTCTCCACAGTGGCTGCACCCGTCTGCATTCCCAGCAGCAGTGCACTAGGGTTCCCTTTTCTCCACGTCCTTGCCAGCAGTTGTTGCTTATTGATTTGTTAATGATGACCATTCTGACTGCTGTGCAGTGGTAGTTCATTGCGGTTTTAATTTACATCTCTCCTGATGGCTACTAATGCTGAGCATCCTTTCATATATTTCAGGGCTCTCTCTATGTCTTCTTTGGAGAAGTGTCTGTTCAGGTCTTTTGCCCATTTTTTGATTGGATTGTTTATCTTTCTGGTGTTGAGTCATATGGGTTCTTTACATATTTTGGAGATCAAACCTTTGAAGTATCATTGGCAAATGTTTTTCCATATGTTTTCATCCCTTTTCATTTTGATGATGTGTTCTTTAGCTGTGCAGGAGCTTTTTAATTTGGTGTAGTCCCACTTGTTTATTTTTTCCTTTATATCCCTTGTCCTAGAGGATATGTTGATGAAAATATTGCTGCATGAGATATCTGAAATTTTCTTGCCTATGTTTTCCTCTGGGATTTTTATGGTGTCATGGCTTATGTTTAAGTCCTTTATCCATTTTGAGTTTAATCTGTTGTATGTTGTCAGTTGGTGGTCTAATTACATTTTATGCATGTATCAATCTAGTTCTCCCAACACCATTTTTTGAAGAGGCGATTTTTACTCCATTTTATGCTCTTGCTCCCTTTGTCAAATATTAATTGACCATAGAGACAGGGGTTTATTTCTGGGCTCTTAATTTTGTTGCATTGGCGTATGCCTCTGTTTTTATGCCAGTACCATGCTGTTTTGATTACTATAACCTTGTATAGTTTGAAATTAGGTATTGTAGCATGATACCTCCAACTTTGTTCTTCTTTCTCAAGATTGTTGTGGCTATTTGGGTTCTTCTGTGGTTCCCAATACATTTTAGAATAATTTTCTCTAGTTCTGTGAAAAATGCCATTGGTATGTTTATAGAGATCGCATAGAATCTGAAAGTTATATGGATATGTTAATAATGCCAATTCTTCCTATGAGCATTGTATATGCTTCCATTTATTTGTGTCTTCTTTGATTATTTTCTTCAGTGTCTTATAATTTTCCAAGTACAGGTCTTTATCTCCTCAGTTAAATCTATTCCTATGTATTTTATTGATTTATTTTTTTGATGCAATTGTAAATGCAATTATTTTCTTAGGTTCTCTTTCTGACAGTTCAGTATTGGTGTATAAAAATGCAACAACTTTCTGAATATTGATTTTGTAAACTGATGCTGTACTGAATCCATTTATCACTTCTGATAGTTGTGGTTTTTTGTGGAATCTTTAGTATCATATCATCTATAAATAATGACAGTTTTAGGGTTTTTTTATTTCCAGTTTAGATGCTGTTTAATTGTTTTTCTTATCTGATTGCTATGGCAGGTACTTCCAATGCTATGTTGAATAAAAGTGGGAAAAGTGGACATCCTTATCTTATTCCTGATCCTAAGGAAAATGCTTTTAGCTTTTTCCCGTTGAGAATGTTGGATTTCTCAACATCATTGGTTTCTTATATATTGCCTTTGTAATTTTAAAATATGTTCACTCTATTCCCATTTTGCTGAAGGTTGTTTTTTTTTAAATCATAAATGGATGCTGGATTTTGTAAACTGCTTCTGCATCTATTGATATGATCCTATGATTTTTATTCTTCATTTTGT